GGCATCTGTTTGTTTTAGTCAAGATTATGATAAAATATACTTTCCCCAACTATGTTTAAATTCCCTATGAAGAGCCAACCTTCAATTTTGAAAATTCCCGTTTATTCCCGTGGAAGATATGGCTGTAGTTCTGGGATCAAGCCGTTTAATGAACATGTGATATGGTCGTAGTTCTGGGAGCGGATCAAGCTGTATAATGAACATGTGATATGTTCGTAGTTCTGGGAGCGGATCAAGCTGTACATGATGCCCCCCAAACACCAGCCGGACTTCTCCTTCCTGCGCCACGTCCCCCTGAGACGAGTTCACCTCTTCACTCTGGTTCAGATCATCTGCCTCGCCGTGCTCTGGATCCTCAAGTCCACCTTCCTCGCCATCATCTTCCCCGTCATGGTGAGGCCGTTCATTCAGCTAGAATATGTCTTTTATTTGTTACGTTGAGAGGGAATGCTGGATGGAGACGCTGCAGGAATTCAGCCTTTAAAAAAATATAAAAAACAGCTGAAGATGCGTGTCTCAAGAACCAAAACGTGCACTTAGTGTATTGACTTTTTAGCTTCTATTTAAGTACACATTTAAGATACTTTTACTTTGTTTGTGTATTTATTTTAATGCCCTTTAATGCTTCCACTCCACTCCTATTATATGACAGTCTTATTTTACTTTCTACGTAAAATAACGGTTTTTTTTACTTAAAAATAAAGATTTCTGCCCAAAAACATTAAAATAATTTAAAGATTATTCTTTTTTTTTTGTATAAACTAGGCAACAGCTTATTTGTTTATTTGTTATGCGACTGCAATCAAAACAGTCAGTCAATTAATCGATCGAACAAATATTTTGGCATCTATTTCGATGGTTAAAGTCATTTTTTATTAAAAATGTATTTTCTTTTTCCAGCTTCATAAATGTGAATATTTTCCTTTTCTTTGACCAGTGTTAATAATGTTGAGGTTTGGGCTGAATAAACAATGTTTAGTTGAAACTTTGGGATAATTTCTCCCTATTTTTATAACTTAAAGGTGACCTATCATGTGTCCCCGGTGTTCCAGGGAACTCACCAAGTGTCAGAAAACACAACCCTCTCTATTTTCCTCCATACCCAAATCTCTAAAAAAGGGGCTGCAACGGATCTGATACAGACTGATCCAGATTTGAACACTTCTATGACGTCACAGAAGTGGCGCTACGGCTATTGGGCCAACTCCACCAATCAGGAGGAGACAGCCACGGACATTGCCGTTGGAAAGCGCTGGAGACGCTGTAGTACATATTTCAGGCCACCAGATGGTGCTGTTCTCACTGAATCCGAGTGTGAAAGGCAGTGTTAAATTGAGCAAAATGAGGAATGGCTAAAATGCATGATCTGTTTGGTATTTTGAAAAATGAAAAGTATAAATATGCCTTATATAGGTATGGTCCTACACTATATTATTAAAATATAGCATGATAGGTCTACTTTAAATGGATTAATGGAGACAATAATCATCAGATAAATCTATCATGTAAATAATTCTTAGTAGTTAATGGTTCAACAACAGTAAGATTCTGATTGTTAACTATGCGTGAGTAATGATGACCTAATGATGTCATCAGTAAACCTATCTTGGTACCAGAGGGTCTTCCAAGTGTGTTTTCAGCAGAGTCTCCCCTAAATGCCCCGAACAGATCCTGGGTCTGATGGTGGTGCGGAAGCTTCTGGATCTCATGTTCTCTCAGCACGACCTCGCCTGGATGGACGACCTCCTGCCCGACAAAGACAAGAAGAAGGACGACGACAAGAAGAAGAAGAAGAAGAAGAAGACGGTGGTGGAGCAGCCCGACAGCGACGAGGAGGTGGGGAGGAAATATTACTGAAAACACACACACACACACACACACACACACACACACACACACACACACACACACACACACACACACACACACACACA